TCAGGGTATGGACTTTCTGTTGATTTATTTTGATATTAAGTATTATAATGTTTGTATTTGTTCTTTTGTTGTTTTGAGTTATACTTCCTGTCTGTCCGTTGATTGATTGACCCTCCCTGTTGTCTTACCTGTGTCTCCCTTTGTGTATTTAGACCCTGTGCTCCTGTCCTGTTGTTGTCTGTCCATTTTTAGTTTTCCCCACATCAAGTTTGTGTTTTTAGCATAGACTGAATATCAACGGACTTAGTCACGCCTATCTCCGCCTATCTTCTAACTAATGTGCCACAACTTCCGCGGTCTACGGGCAGTTTCAAAATGGCCGCGAAGGCTGGAAAATGTGAAAAAACGCATTTGCGCATGCGTCAGCCGACACGAGCCCCATTCATTTAACGAGTGCCTTCAAAAATTCACAGCGACTAAAGCCTGGTTCAGGATATTTAGGCCGATTTAGACCCGATTTACCCCTTACGACAATCTTAAGAAACGCTCCGATTTCCGTAACAAAATCTTACAGATTATCCTGCCGTGTGTGGTGTGTTAAGACTGCACTCGTCGCTCGGAAGGACATCGGGGATATCCAACATGTTGGATTGTTTTGGCCCGATTTCTCTTCGTGTGTGGTGTCCCCCGAGGACAGACGTGCGCGTTGCCATGACTGCGGCGTGTAGCCAATCAGAAGACGAGACGAGGCGGTGAGGAAACGCCTCCATATCACGATGTAGCAAGTATAGTCCATGCTCGTGTTGTCTACACTTCTTTGACCATCGCCTTTTCTTTTGATTACGTCTTTTCTCCGATAAAAACAAACTATCGCCACTGCATCCTCTTCGTCTGCCATGTGTGTTTACTCTGAAGTCACGCTTGATCTCGCGAGACCTGAGATTTCCGTCTGATCTGTGAATACTCGGGCGTGATTCTTGCCGTGTGGCTGCGCACCACACACTGTACGACCAAAGTGGTTAGACCCGTGATTTTTTATCTCCCTGTGTGGGGTCTCACACAGAGAAAAATCGGCCGACAATTTTAAAATCGTCTCGTGTGAAAAAAACTCCCCTCAGCATTGACACACATGTGGAACGGAGCTTTGGGCCAAGAGCCAACTTTTGGTCCATCCTGTAAAGACGTTTTTGAGAGGTAAGAAGATGCTATATGTTAGCATTGGCTAATTCTTCTTCTGGGTCCACCCCCATCGGCCCAGGGTGGTATTGCAAGCATGTCAGCGCACGTCTTTTTGGCCACTTTTGAGCTGGGACCCTCCCCCACTGTTATTACCCTGGATTTGATTTGATTTATTTCAGTCCTGCATTCTGGTTCCACCTTTTGCTTTTCATGACAAAAAGGGGGTTCATATGAATAGGAGACGGCTAAAATAACAAGCTGCCATTGTGTCCTCAGGCAAGACACTTCACCCACACTGCCTTTGAGTCTGGTGTAGAGAATGTTGGTGGTCGAAGGATCCTGTGGCAACACCAGTGTGACAGCCCTGTTTTCATCAGTCTGCCTCAGGACCTGTGTGGCTGCATTACAAGCTTACCACCATGGTGTATATGAATAATAATAATGATTGGGATTAGGCTCAAACACAGAGGGCCTTGAGCAGAGTGGTCAAACAGAAGCACTCCGAGTCCTCTGAGCCACAAAGACACTTCTGTCTCAAAGACGTCAGTGGGACGAGAGGGAAGAGGGAGTGTAACAGCCATGACATGTTTACATGCGCTAAGGACAAGAAGATTTATGGCTAATTTAAAACCAAACATACAAATCTATATATAAAAGCAAGGAATGTCTGTTTGTGTGTGCCCAAGCTAATGGGTGATGTCATGACGCTTAAGTTTGAACAAACAAAACAATAAAACATATTGCCAATGTTGAGTCTTATGAAAGAGAAAATAATCCTCAGCGTGATCAAGCTTAAAACAAAGTGAGAAGTCCATTTTAAAGCCCCCTGAAGTGGGTCCTGAGTTTACTTGCCCTAAAATTTTGGGAAAAAACATCATCCTCTTAATGTTAAAGCTCATCCTGAATCCAGTTTTAGAGTCCAGGTTGTCACCACTGGACAAATCTGATGAACTAAAGTGGCTTAAAGGTTTGGACACCCCAGTCCTACTTTTGAAATTCAATATCTATTACTCTGGCATAATATGCATCTCTATAGATACTTGACATGTACTAATTTTATTCTTAGCTTCAGGACCGTTCTAATAGAAACTGGATCGATAAATGAATAGTACATACAAACAAAACCACATACACAAAAGATGATACTCCATTGTGGAATATTTCAGCATATTGCTGTCTGTGGATATTCTCTGCGCCCGTTTGTCTTGCTTCAGAGTTTAACTTCTGAATCGGTCTCCATGGAAACAACTCAACAGGAAGTGCCTTGAGCTGTGTCTCGTACAGTGCTGAGGTCAAAACAAAGTAACTCTGAATAAAACTCTTTTCTTGTGTTACATCATTATCCAGGTAGCAACTTCTACTGTAAAGTCAACAGCAGTGTCCTTGGTTTTTCATTAGTACATGTTGAAAGTGAATAATCAGATCATTGAAACTGGCCTTTTCCTGCAGTTAGTGTTTGCAGGAAAACTGTTTGGCCACTGCGGTACTGGAAAAACAAATAGTACTTTATTAATTGCCTCTGAAATATATTAGAATAATACACAGGATTAAATTCACAACGTTTTACAATCATAATCCTAAATACCACAATTGACTTATGTAACATCGTGGTATTTTGTCCCAGTAAAATTTGATACATTTTCTAATTTTGATTTGAGATTAGGAGTTGGGGTTAGGGACAGTTAGTTGAGCATTTATAATTAGCAAAGCAGCAGAAGTTACATGTAATAATGAATATTAATAATTTCAAAATAGATGCATGAAGACCCACTCATTTAATATAAAAACATGAAAGTGTCTTGAATTGACAAGTTAAGATAATGTTTTGCTACCGCTAACAGCTGTTTTGTTTGTTCAAAATGTAAAAGCTAACATGTTAGATGACCACTGGACTTCACTGAAACATGGTTACGATTGAAAGGTCCAAAGCAAAATATATATCGTTTATTTTAGTTTTTAACCTTAGTTTTTAACCTTCGATAAAGTTTGTAACTTCCTGGTTGGACTTGAGCAGCAGATGTGAGATGTAGTTACCGTAGCAACATCTCATTTTGGGCCGAAATTCTGATTTTGTGGAGCTATTTTGAAAATTATGAATAATAATTGAAACACTTTTTTACACACTGTAGATTGAAACTACACTTCTGACCCTGAGTGGAAGTTTCCAACGCCCATCTATGACAGTTAGTAATCTGTTGTGGTAATTGCAAATGGTAATTCTACCCACTATTCTTGGCTTAAGTTCTTGTAAATGTAAATGTGACTGTTTTCTTTCTTGTTTTGTTAAGCACTTTGAGCATACCCTTGTGTATGAACTGTGCTATACAAATAAACATGCCTTGCCATAAATTCCTGGGTCATCGTGCATTAACAGCTCATTTGAGATCTCCCCAGAGCGGCTCAATCATGTTATAATTTGACAACACATTTCACAATATATAGCTTTAAAAAAAAACACTAACCATGCATGGAATAAAACATGGTTGTGTTTATCCTATATATAATTATAATCTCTAAAATACAGACAAAACAGTGACATAATTATCAATATATAGCAAGCAGCAGAATGTCTTCTTTATCAACACAACATCATGTGGGAAAAAGCCGAGCATAAGCAGATGGGACGTGTTTGATTGAAGTTTGATCCTCACTAACAATTATGTGGTTGCTATGTGTCCTTTGTTGCTATCCTGGCCTGCTCTTCTCACACGCCCAGAGGAAGAGGACGCAGGATAAATACAGTGTGTCTATGAGAAAGGTGATACATATATATATATATATACGGATGCAGCTGAGGTGAATTTTTTTATTCACATTATGACACATTTTTTGTCCACTGCATAACCATTCTGTGAACAGTCAGCAACATTTCCCTGCATAGGTCGTGGGCTTGTATATTCAATTCATTTCTTTTGTATAGACCTAAATCATAGTAGTAATTGTCTCATAGGACTTTACAAAGTTGTTTATTCATCACCACTGTCCTTGGACCCTCGTACATTGACAAGGAACTCAAAAAACCCAGTGACAAACCTTTTTTATATGTTTATAGAAATACAGTGTTTGGTGACAAATCGATCACACTCATAGATTACTTTAAAAAGCTAATTTTAGATTTAGGAAAACACAAAATGGAAATCCGAGGCACACGCAATCAACACACGCTTGAATTAAATCCATAAATACAAAATATACACAAAAACATGAAGCTGTTAAAGTGAATGGGATACTTTTCAAATTGTAGAGCAGGTGAAACTTTTTTAGACACAGCAGCTTCCTGATTGGTCGAAATTATTTTCAAAGCTTGAGGCCTTTCCTCTCCATGATCTATTTAATGTGTAACTGGTCTGATACCATTGTCTTACCCTTAACCCAGATATGGATTAAGGGTAAGAAAATGGATGGATGGATGGATGAGTCTGCTACTATGAAAAAAAAATATTTTCATATTTCTTGGGGGTAATTAACCATAGACTGTAAATACTAACCAGGCTAAGTACAGGTCAGGTCTGTAAAAAGGCAACAAATTAAGTTCTTAGAGCTGTAAAAACATCTGTAATTAAATAACTGAGGCTAAAATGAGGCAGAAAACTACAAAAGTTGCAGAGTGTATTTTCACATGAATTGCAAGCTGCTTCAGTACATAATGGCAATTTCGATTACTGACACTAAACTGGGGAATGACAAGTGGTATGAGGTGACCACTACTTTTCCGCAGTTATTTCTCAAGAGCAATGATGTTCGTTGCTTTTAGTTGGATATTTGGTTTGGTAGCATTAATGACAAACTGTGAGCAGATGGAAAAGACATTCTGCTATTTCATTACTCAACTTCTCAGACCGCAGAGAGGAAGCGCACTGTCCTTCTTGATCTGACCTAAATCATTTGGCGGTCGCTCGTTTCCCTGTTATGAGCTCTGAAGTGGAGTTGTGGTGGGCCGGGTCCTCTGCTTTTCCTGTTTCACAAGTTCAAGTTCAGGAAACCTCAAGACCATCGAGTTCACAGAGCCAGAGGACCCTCGCAAATTCATAAAGTCACATATTCAATAAGCAAAGTGAAGGACGTCTTTCAAATATGCACAGCTATACACTGAAAAATGAGAATTAATTAAGTAATACATTCTTGAATTGAGTGGTTGTTATAAGTAGTGGTAGTAATGGTTATTATTAGTTCATTTAGAAGCAGGACGGTACACAATGATAAACATTTCTCTAAATGTGCCAGTATTAGCTATGATAAGATAAGATAAGAGAACCTTTATTCATCCCACAGTGGGAAAATTTCAATGTTTCAGTGCACATACAGGACCGTAGTAAAAGCACACAGGGAGCACACAAAATATACAATCTACAAGTATCTTCTATGTTTCTTAGCTAGCTGTAAATGCTTCAATATCAATATATCGATATATCTCTATCTATCTATAGATCTATCGATATATATATAGTGTGTAAAGTTATATACATATATTGCAGGATAATAAGTAGATAAAGTGACATTCAGTGGACATTCTGAAATTGCAGTATTATGCAGCTACTCTAGTCCCAAGGTTTAAAATGCCAGTAAAAACACAATTGTAAGGCAAACTGTACAATATCAAAGACACATGTTCTATAATGTTAGTTAAAATATTATTTATAAGAAAAATACAGGTTATTAGAACGAGTCATGTCAGTTTAAGTATCAAGCTTTTTCCTTTTGGAGTTTACACTGTTAATGATACTTACTTCCGTATTAGCGTTTCAAATCTTAAAATGCATTAAATCACTTGCTGAGTTGAAGGTTGTTGAGAAAAGCAGATGTTTTTTATGTTCTGCTACTTGGTAAATCAACAGTAAGTACAGTGGAAGTTATGCAAAAGTCTGTGGAATGTCATTATGCTTCATTATGGTCGGATCATTCTAAAAAATAAATGTTTGAGAGATTTCCGTACTTCGGCAAATTCTTTTAGGAAAGTATGTAATTTTGTGCAAACTGTTTCTGCTTTGAGTTGATCTGCTCAGTGTTACAGTAATGAGCCAGAGGGAGCGGCGTACGGCTGTCAGTCACAATTATCTTATTTTGTATTCATTCCATTTTAAACATGAGTTAATCTTTGGTCAGATAAAGCCGAGGTGTGCAAAAGAATATGTAATAAAATCCATCCGACTAGTTCCTCGCTCTCAAAACTGTTTTCACATATATGCATTTTAGCCTTTGTCACATCTTTAGGGTTCAATCCTGTACCTCCAGACAGGGACTTAGTGAGTGGAGTTTGCTTGTTTCTCCCTGTGTCTGTGTAGGTTTCCTCGGGGTGCTCCAGTTTCCCCCATTAAAAACATACAATCAGCCTGGGAAGCGCCTCCTGTATAGCAACAAATGCCCACAGCACTTTGTGAATCTGCCTGTTAAAGGTGCTATATAAATCATGACTACTATTACTACTACTACAGTCACAAAGACTACACTGCAAAAAGTACTACATTTTGGGAGCAAAGCAAAATTATCTTATTTTAAAAAGATACAACAAATGTTTCCCTTGTAATGAGAAAATGAAGCAACAGTTCTTAAGACTAAATGACTTTGTCCCATTGGCAAATCTTTTTTTAATACAGTTATAGAATGTACTCAAATTAAGATAAAAACCACTCGATTCAAGCATTTACCTCATATTTTATCATTTTTTGCAGCGCACTTACTTCAAGCACCTACTGTATTAACTTAATGTCCTTGTTTGCTTCGACCAAACTCTTACTGCCATCTGTTTGTCTGTGTTGTGACCTACAGAAACTCTGGGCTCTTCTTCCCTCCGGCTCTCTGCCTCTTGAGGTCTGTGCAGTTTCCTTAAGTAATTTGACATCTTCACCACATCCACTCTGGTTTGGAGGCCGGACCGTGCGCTGCGTATTTCTGGAGCCTGGTTTCGCTCCTGCCCCCCGCTGCAGAGTGCGGTTACATCTCTGAGGGCTTCAAATACACGGCCCACGTCCCAGCGGAGAAACACGACCTGCAAAAGACGCCTGCAGCTGGATCATGTTGAGGTAAGTGCAGCAAACAAACACATCACGCTGTTTACAGAATCTATTTCCAATTTTGAGTGATACTAGTATGACAAAAACAAACGGCAAATGTGTTTCCCCCTCATTTAAAGTGAAGTATTGAATCGTTTTTTCCCCCTTTCAGGAGTTAGCAGTAATTTTTGACCTCTTAATTTCATAGACTAAAACCTGAAAAGTGATATGATGTTCCTATAAATGTCTGGAAATTAAAGAAATACTAAGGATGGCCCAAAATGTATGCATTTATCCTTTTAATTTGTATATTATGACGTCATATGTTGGCGGCCATCATGGATTCCCTGTTCGGATCATGGATTTTAGAATTTTGATGAGATGTTTTTGTGAGTATTCTCCTGTTTTTTGTATTTATTTATTTATTTTTTTTACTGACAGACATACAAATCACAAGGACATGCACAAATGAACAGAACACACGCTTTACCATACTAAATGGTCAGGGAAAAAGTAAAGCAACAGTACTAATAAATGGCAAGATGATTGGAAAAATGACAATGGGAAGTTCTCTGTAGCTTCAAGCTGCTGTTCGAGCAGCAACCCACCTCCTCCTCATCACCGCAATGGAGCATTATGTCATTCGGCTTTCCTCCCCACCAGATTCAAGGCCACAGGGATTTTGAAAGCTCATCATTTCTATTAAACTCTCTCCTGCATACAAAATGCAGTATTCCTGCCGGGGTCTAATTGCCAAAGCTTAATGAACATTTCATGTTCAAATGCAATAAATATATTAGTACCCAATCAATGTGTCTGCTGGGTTTTATCGTCTACTCATGCAATCTGGACATTAAAGGTGCCATATTAGGCTTTTCTTCATGTTTCAGAGTCAATCCTATGCACATATGTGATCATAATTTGAGTAATACAGCATACAACACTCAAAACTTGTGAGATTATAGCCATCTCTTGTATAGAGGTGACATCACCTCGACTCAAACGAGCTGATCCAGACATCAGTCTGCTCCTCTGTCTGTGAGCCCGCCTCCCTCCACCCGCCCGCACGGCATCACGCTCTGAGCAGTTCATCACCGGTACATAGTCATTTCAGACATGAGAATAAACTTTTTCCAACAATGACAATCCGTCACATTGAGCCCTATGTCCTCGATGCACAATACGACCCTAATTATTTAGTTTACAGAAGTATACGGCGAGTCATACTCCATATCGGGGGGTCCGTGTTACGTCTTTTATTGTGGGAATAACATATGTTTCCAGATCAGTTTTTTGAGTAAGTCCAGTTCCATTGTCCCTGTAATTCTGGAACAGTCTCAGTGAAGTGTCGCAGATGAACAGATTCAATCAAACAGAGGCAAATCCACATGAAAAAAGTCGAGCAGCATTCTTCCTCTTCAGGCCAAATAGTGCGTCACATATTTACACCCAAAACACATTTTCTCCAAGTTGACGTGATCCTAACACTTTTAGTTGCTGACAAAAGCAGCAAACAGTAGCTCCATGTGGTGTCCGCGAGACCAAACCACAAACATGCGCCAGACTGGCTGCGCGCTCTGATTTGCTGTTTCGATCTGTCAATCACCTCCCGGCTTTCACTATTATTTTTATGTCTCTTATTTTTGACAACAAATAGCATACTTATTGTGTATTGTTTACCCTGTTTTGACAAAAGTATTTAAAAACATTTTAAATACAAAGCAAACGGGGTTATGCACGTCATATTCGTCATCAGAGTGGTTATCGTCACTGAAGTGGACCCGAGCGTTTCACTGCCTTGAGGGTGAAGGAGACAGATCACTCTCTTACTGAAGATTGACAGAATCAATGAAAAAACTACTCTGGGCATGTGTATGAGGCCAAATAGCACTGTAATCATGTTTAAAGCAGAGAAAAGTCAAAAAGCTCGGAGTAGAGCCGCTGCTACTCCACGTCGAGAGGAACCAGTTGAGGTGGCTCGGGCATCTGTTCCGGATGCCCCCCGGACGCCTCTTTGGGGAGGTGTTCCGGGCACGTCCCACCGGGAGGAGGCCCTGGGGAAGACCCAGGACACGCTGGAGGGACTATGTCTCTCAGCACATGGATGGATGGATTCCTTCATAGTTATTGTATATATTGATAATATGTCTACGTTGTACACAGTGAGTTGAATACAATTTAAATTAGGAGAAATCACATTCCTCAAACAGTATCTTCCAAAATGGTTTAAGTCAAAGTGACCCTCAAATAGTAAGGGCACAAACACCCACATTCTGGTGCAACGGGTTTCCCTGAAATATTTGAGTTATCGTATCTTGTCCAAATGACAACTCAGTGTACTTATGGACAAGTGCACTTCATCTAAGGCCTTATCCCCACATTGCCCTTTTTGACTTTTTACCAGCGCTATGTCTTTAAGCACGTGTCTAGTAAACCATCCAGTGTTTGATAAGCACCAGACGTTATTTATAGAAAAAACATCTTCAATCAAAAAATTGGATCGTTTAACCCAATGTAAATCCAAGAGCAAGACAGGAGTGCAGGCTGTTCCTCCTCTGCTCAGTCCCGGGACATAAACACCAAACATGAAGCCGCTCCAAACCCAAAGAAGAAAGAGCTCATTTAGTTATTTGTCCTTATGTCCTGCACCGGCCCAAACCTGACCTCACCCTGTGCTTACTGTGCACCACTGCAGCCCACATCTCCAAACATGCATTTACAGGGAAAGAAGACACAGCCGTACAGACATCACCATTGGAGAGAGTTTGAATAGTCGAAAGGGGGCAAACAAACATTCAATATCCATGTTGACGATTCAGACGTTTACAGACTTTGGGCACAAGACACACAAGCACCGTTTATGTAAATGTCTTTGGGTCAATATTTGAGAATTGAAAAGCCTTCTGAGGAGTGGGGAGTTCATATCAGTTCATCATTGGGGGTTTAAAAGGAAAAAAAAAGAGTTTAGAAGTAAATATTCCCCGCTGCAAAGGTCAAGCAGGGTTGTAAATGAGGGAAAAGTATGTCACAAGAAAAAAAACAGTTGAGGTGCCATTGGGCAACATACTTCCAAATATCAAGTCATAGATTTTGTACTTAATTCTTGCTTCTTCATCATGAAAAGCTTTAATACTGCTTTGTTTTCATGCCAAAGTTAGGGATTAAATGTTATTTTATTTGATATAGAGCTATTGTTCATTCATCTTGTGCTGTGTGCTCCTCATTTCTATACTGTTCTCTGGCGATGCAACACTGAAATTTCCCCACTGTGGACGAATTAAATCTCTTAATCCTAACCTTTTAATGTTCAACCCATGACGACAGTAATGTGATTTCTTGTTTTCTTTCCTTTTGGATTTTCTAAGATGTGGGCGCACTAATAACACAAATGTGGGTTTTTTTACCCCTAATTTTTTAGGCCTTTACCAAATTAAGGTCTAGTTTGATGGCAAAAATGCCTAAAACCGAGTGATAGAGATGCTCCAATCAGGTAGATTTCAGTTCCAAGTAGATATATTTGGTAGATTCACCAAATGATGAAGAAACCATTTAAGGGTTAACCACTTTGTCGATCAAGTTTAAAGATCAAACACAACCCGTAAATTTTCTATGACAGATGTTTTTGTTGCTCTCCTCTCGCAGATGTGCCGTGAAACTTGTCCTTAATGTGGATGGAAAAGTAAAGTGTGGAACATTTCAGGCAAAACAAAAACATTTTAGATTGACCAAAGCAAGAAGCCAAGTCGAGTGCAACAAATATGATATATAATTGGAAAACCGCAGCTGTGAGGATTTCATTGGGGAATAGTACAAAGACATTAAAAGGGACAGTACGTGTTATTTTGATTTTGAATTGTATCTATTTATTTTGTATATGTCTCCAATTGATGGGTCAATGTGCACAAAGAATATCTGACCTTGAAACAAACGTATAAAGTGGAGTAATTCTTATTCAAAAATACAATGTACCTGATATTTATCCATATTTATGTTTACAATTTTCAAGCAGATTATCCAATGGGTGGCTTGTTTGTAGGTGAAATTACACAGTTTGTACCATTTCTAGCTAAACTCCAGCAGGTGGATTGCATCTATAGTCAGTGCTTAGGAGCTAGCTTGAATTGTAAGTGTACAAAAATGTAATATAACATTGTAATGCAATAATTGTGCACATGAAATACTGTCCCTTTAAAGAATATAAGCCCAAGACTTACAGCAGACGAAAGGAGAATTTTGGAAACACAAGCTTCTGCACTGATGGTGATATTTTAATGTGGGCACCATGGCTTGGTATGCATCATTTGGAAGTTTTCTTAAGCATTATGATATAATTTTTTCTAACATTGGAAACTCACATGTAATTAGTTAGTTATATAAAAATCAAATGCTTTTTTTACCTAACCTGAACAAGGAATTGCGTTCAGAAAATAATAATTAATCATAATTTTTAAACATCCATTAAATATAAGCAATCTTTGTGTCAAAATACCTTCATTATGTAAAAAAATACACATGAAAAATCATCTAACTTTCCGATAAGATAACCACAACAAAATGGCTTTCAGCTCCAGCCAGCAAATACTTTTTTTATTCGGCCCCCGACCAACTTGAGTTGGACACTCCTGGCCTAAATAATTAATAAACTATTACTACAAACTTTTTCACTTACTGTAATAGAAGTCTTCCATAAAAAATAATCCTGAACTTTCCCATCATTTGGCATTTGGTTCTGGAAAAGCAAATAACATAGAACTCCCACATAGAATAGAGAAAAGCTGACAGCAGACCCTTTAAGACAAAGTATTATATTGTAAAAGGCCTTGAGAGTGATGCAAGAAGACACTGTAACTATGGGGTGTTTAAAAGTTTTATTTCATCTACAGTTCCTTTTTTTTAATTATGTATTGATATCTGCTCATGTACAAACTAAACCGTACAGAAAGGGAAGAAGTGTGGGGTCTTATTCACCAGGAAGTAATTACACAAATCCAAAAGTTTACAGTCCAGCTTTAGATTCACTGTCGTAAACATTATTTATTCCTCTGTTTATTAATCCTGCTTCCTTCCTGGGCTTTCCTTTCAAAAGATCTGTGTTTTATCTTGAAAATCTGGAGAAAAGTTTGAAAGAGGATGAAAAATGCGAGCGGTGGGCATGTTAATGTAATTATTTTTGATGAAACAAACATGAGTGCTTGATGTGGCTCCTCTCATGTGGTCAGATATGTTTTGTGTTTGGAGAAGACTTGTGCCGCCTGTTTCAGAAGAAAGTAAGAAAATAAACGTGACATGAGAAATGGCAGCTCCTGGGGTTGAACTGTTGAGGGAAATTACTTACCACTTCATAATGCCACAAGGCTTTTGGCTGTTTGCTAAATGAGACCATGGTCCAGCCACAGCCGCTCATCCCAACAACATTTTGACTAATTTTAATTAAGATTAACAGAGATATTTTGTTTACGTCAAGATTCTGTTCATACTGTGTCCATAGGCTGCCCACATGTCTCTTTGTTTTATGATTAATCCTGTATTTTTCAGTTTTTTGTGAGTCACATAATTTACTTAAAGTGAGTATGAAAGGTGGGACATAACCAAAACAAAGGTGACATTATTCTTTATAAGAATTCGCAAAAGATTTTGTCAATATTATCCGTTTGACCATTTTTATGATACTTTCACACAAAGGATGTTAACGAGCAACATGTAATAAAAATGCTCTTTCATCTCTTTCAGTGTACTCACTAAGTAATATCAAACTAATTTAAATCCAAGAACATTTTTGTATTCAGTTTGGTTTAAGGTTTATAGGAACATTTTCCCAAATTTTAGGAAAAAACCGCCCTCTCCACTACTTGAATTCTTGTATAAGTTTTACTTCTTCTCACTCATTTTTCGAGTTGATACTTAGTTATTTAAAATAAATGTGTAGTGTAAATCTCAGTAATGTATATTGAACTCGAAATAAAAACATTTCAAAACATTTCACTCTCTGGTGTTATTTGATGAGCACGTTCTGTATCAGCAGAATGATTGACAATTAGGAGGATCAAAAGTCTTGATGATCCACCCGGAAGTTGGAAATCTTCCTATTTACCTTTAATCAAAACATTTCCATATGTAAATTGTGATCATTTTAGAACTCTACGTCTAAGTTTTTCCTAGTTTTTTCTAATTTTTCATCAGAAACTGTGGATTATTGTTTTTAACTATAATGTAAGTATATGTATATAGGTGTCATTCCACTAATTTCGGTCAAAATGAAAAAAAAATCATACAAAAGAGTCATAATAACTTAATTCATCATTTGAGTTTATTATATTGTATGTGATGAATATTAAGATTAATAGATTCTATTCTTCCCACAGTGGGGAAATTTCATTGTTGCATCACAAGTTATAGAACAGTATGAAATGAGGAGCACACAACACGACACTTACAGAAAAAAATAAGAATAAAACTATGTCCATGCCCCAATATGGAGATGGTTATGTTGCTTTCTTTTCTGGTGTAGAGTTTTGTTCAAAACGCTCTTAAAGAGAAAACTATCAAATCAAATCCATGTGTGAACTCAAACTAGACATAAGACACAGCCGGTGGAAGATTCTAAGACACATTTTGAGACACTCAGTTAGAAATCAAAGATGCAGTAATCCAAACACCAGTGGTTTATAAAATGTGTGTCATAGTTGTCGGGATAAGTGAAGGACACGATCGCCCTCTCTGTCACCTGCCTGGAATATGCTGTCAATAACAGCCCTCAATACTTTTATATCATTAAACAAGACATAGATCAAAATGCATTGTCTCTTACAACAGCAGTTATCTCGGAGGATTTTACACAACCATTTAATCCGCCAACACAGAACAGAGAAACAAACAATTCAAACACAAGAAGTGAAACAGAAAACACATTGGTATTTGGTCCATAAGGAGCAGATTGTTTGGAATGAAGCTTACTATTGTCTCAAACTGTCATGGCTCAAAAAACAGCATTCTTGCCTTGGTTCAAGAAGGTTCATCTTTTCTTCTTTACAAGATTAATTTATTTAGTTCTTCTCTACTGGACAAATGTAAGATTGCAATGATATTACCTTGATATGTTTTGATGGCAAACATCCGTCTTCCTCTGACGAAGTTGAAACAGATTCAAATTAATTTTATAGATAGATACTTTATTGATCCCCGAAGGAGACATTCAGGATTCATTCATTCATTCAAATTCATTTTATTTGCCATTTACAGTAAGTCCCTAGTGTGCACCAGACAAGTACATACATAAAACAAGGTGAAAAGTACAAGTATGAAATCATTTCCATGCTGGAAATGATTGACACTGTGAGATCGATAAACTAAAACAGTTTCAATACAAAGGCAAGATCATTAAAGGGCTTTGTATAAACTGATAATAGCTTGTGGAAAACTGTTGGCATATCGAGATGTCCTGTATCTCGAACCATATCTTCTGCCAGAGGGAAGAAGCTGGAACATGGCTTTTTCCAGGGTGACCAGAAGAGTCATTGATAGTCGTAAAAGCTGGGTTTAAGAGTCTGGATTCGTAAAGAACCTCCAGAACAGGCAGCTCACAGCCAAAAGTCCTCGTTGCAGAGTGGAGCACCTTGTTTATCCCTTTAATGGTTTCCTCAACCATTTGGTGGATCCCTTTATGAGTCACTATATCTACTTGAAACTTGGAACTGAAATCTAC